GCCCCCGCCCCGAGGCCCCGCCCCCGCCCCGCGGCCCCGCCTCACCGTGGTACTCGGCCCACTTGTATCCGCGCACGATCTCTTTGCACTCCCCAGCCGGGGCGCCGGAGGGCGGCGCCGGGTGGACTCGAATCAGCACGTACTTGAAGACTCCCTCCGGGTCAATGTCCACATCGGGGATCTGCGCTAGGCCTGCCGCCGCCATGTTCCTCGGAGCGACGGCCCGTGGTCCCGCGACCCCTCACCGCCCCTGGCCGGCGACTGCCGACTAAGCGGGCGGCGACAGCCGCGGCCAATCCCGCGTGCCGGTGCTGCCGAGGCCCGGCGCCTCCGCCAATCGCACCACCCTTCCGAGACGCCGCCTGGCCAACCACAACCCGGTTCCTTGGAGCGCTGCGCCCACGCCGTCCCGCTTAAAGGGCCTGCGGCCTCGGGGAGCGGGGCGGCGCAGTGCGGCCGGCGGAAGGGCTCTCCTGAGGTCCCGGCTGGCGGGCGCGATCGGGAGGCGGAGGAAGTCCGAGGAGCCCGGCGCGCCGGCCGCGGTCTCTCGCGGGACCTGCCTGTCCCCGATCCGCAGGAGAGCCCACGCCTCCGTCCCGCCCCTGCGACCGCCCGCGCCTCGGTCCGAGGACCCCGATCCGCACCCCAGTTCCGAAGACCTGAGTCCCGGCCGCCTAACAAAGAGACAAACGCAGCTACATTCAAGTGCTAGTTTACTTGGTCGGAAAGCGCTCGAGCCCGGGCAGTGTCCCGGAGGGCCTCAGGACAGCCTCGAGCTGGTGGGGCTGGGGCGCGAATCAGCACGTACGTGAGACTGCGTGCGACTCGCAGGCAGGCAGGCACAGCGAGCAGGCTGGAGCGGGCCACGGCCCCGCCACCCGCGGCCCCCTCCCCGGCGGCCGGGGCGGCGGGGTTCCGGAGGCCCCGTCCTCGGCGAAAATCCTCAGCGCGCCAGGCTCACGCCCCACCCCGCAGCTCGGGGCGTAGCCAGGGCGAAGAACCGGGGACCTGGGTCCAGACCAGGCTCCGACTCGGGCAGGTCACGCGCTTCTCGGGCTCTGGGTCCTGGGGAGCAGGCCCACGTGCCCACACCTTGCACCCAGCCCTGCTACTAGGTCATCCTGGGCCAGCTGCTGAATGTCACTTCCTGAAGGAGCTCTGATCTTGACCCCTCGCCTGCACACACTTCCCGCCGCCCTGGGAGAAATGGACTGTGTAGTCACACCGCCCTGTTCTGTCCTGTCACTCGCCTAGGGTCGGTGCTCCAACCTTCACCCAGATCTGGCCCTGGCGGGCACCCCCAGTGCACAAGCTCTGCTCTCCGTGTCAGGTGCCCCGTGCCTGGAGTATCCCAGTGGCCCTGGCAGGGGCTGGCCCAGGGTTGTTGAGAGGCACTCCTGGGTTTCTCTCTGGGAGCGAAGCAAGCAGGCTACCTAGAACCCTCTCCGCTTTCATCGAGGAAGGCCTCGGAGCAGGACCAATCCGGACAGCAGGCGGGCCGGGCTGTGTTTAAAGGGACACTAGGCTTTGGTCAGCAAGGGCTCCTGGCCCTGGGGCTGGGGGAGCCCAGGTGCCCGAGGCTCAGCGGAGTCCGGAGGTGAATGGGCTGGAATCACATTTGCATGGCTGGGGGCTTGTCAAGCGACCCTCCCTGGAGCGAAGGCCGAGCCCGGCGGTCCTCAGGCCCACCCCGCCTCCCAGCGGGGAGCACCGAGGGCGAGGACCGGCCTCTGGGGACCCAAGGGAGTGGGAGGTGGAGTCTCCTGGAGGCGGGGCTGGTGGTGGGGCGTGGGGTGAGGGGCAGAGACGGCGAGGGGGTGGGCTTGGGACCCGGTGGAGCTGGAGGGAGCACGGGGCTCGGAATGTGGAGTGGGTGGTCGAAGGGGAGGCGGGCGCGGCTCACATGATGTCGTCCAGCAGGTTGGCGCTGGCCACCCAGTCGAGCGCGCGGGGCTCGGACGCGGCCATGATCATGCACATGAACGGGCGGCCGGTGCGCCGGTCGGTGGGGTAGATGGTGGTGGGCGTGAAGCGCCGGTTGGCTTCCACGAACTCGCAGAGTTGCTCGTAGACGCGCGGGAACTCGTGGCGTAGAAAGACGCCGCGCAGCCGCAGCTCGCGCTGGATGTGGATGAAGGCCACCTCGCGCGCGCGACGGCCCGCCTCGCCCTCCTGGTCCAGGCCCGCCGTGCCCGGCGGCGGCGTCAGGATCAGCGTCTCCATGTCGGGCTCGCGGGTGCGCGCGGGAGGCAGCCGCGCCGGGCTGCCG